GTAGGGGGTGATGTTGCTGTAGTCGAACGGTGAGGCGGACGTGTAGTTCAGTTTTGGGCACGCGTACAACAAGGTAGTGCTGCAGGGATTATAATTATATATAGGTGTAGTAGTACCTCTTCGGGCTCTTGTACACCTTTTTCTTGCTACGTGTGCGTGTTCTTTAGATCCTCAGATGGCTCCAGCACTTTCGTGACCACGGGCCGAGAGTCTTTGCTAGATTTTGGCATTTAGCAACTGGCATACGGTTTAATGTGAAGTCAACAACAACAACAACAACGTATCTACAACGTACGGAGATGGCACTACGGATCTACTACTAGTCTACTGTCTACGGATTGTTGTTGTTGTTGTTGTTGTTGTTGTTGTTGTTGTTGTCTTCACACGGATGGGATGGCATAGATTCTACCTGCATCCCGAACGAACGGGTAGGCTCTAGGTTTGTAGTTATTTTTCCTAATACCCCGATCATCTATGTAGCACAGATCACCTCGGAGAAACCGATTGGGGACATAGCTACCGCTTGCATGTGTAGAACAGTCTAGACTATGCGAAAAAAATAGGCCTGTCCTCCATCGGCCGTTTTATTTTCGATTTAGATACACAAACTTTATTTCTATACTAATTTCAAGTAATTCCACCTTCTGATTCTCCGTCATACAAGCAAAACGGCCGATGGAGGACAAGCCTAGAAAAAAAAGCAACGCATGTATCCCGCGTGCGTGCACCGCGAGAAGTATATTATTTGTGGCGCGACCGACTGATACCTTCATTCACCGCATTGACAGTTAGGAGAATAAATCTTAAAGGCGGCCGGTGGAGCCACTTTCTCTCGCCGAATCGGGTTTTTCACTTACTGTTTTTTTTTTTTGTCTTCACTTCAAATCAGCGCTCACAGCATTACAGAACCGGCCCGCACTTAAGAACCTCTTATTTGGAGCGAGGCTCGCTTCTTGTTGGCTGCCCCAAGCCGAGCACAAGTTCTTATTTGCCAGGTTCTTATTTCGTCGTCCAGTTGTCTCGAGAAACGGTGTTCTTGTTCTTATTTCATCATCGATTGCTCAATTGGTGCACTACTCAACTGCACTCGACGCAGAGTTTCATACCCGCAAACACCCCCCCATGGGGCAACTGTCAACGGTCTTGGTCCACAAGAGTGACGTTGGGGGTGTGTACCCTTCCCGCCCTACTGACGCTCTCAAGCAAAACCCATGAGCCTACCGCCGCGTCCGGATCTACGCTGTACTTGTCTAAGGGCACAGCTTCATATTGCGCGTACTGTGGTCTACTTCCAGCTGCACACAGTAGTCGTACAGGTGGCGCTGCGGAGATTGCTGAATGATCAACCCANACTGACGCTCTCAAGCAAAACCCATGAGCCTACCGCCGCGTCCGGATCTACGCTGTACTTGTCTAAGGGCACAGCTTCATATTGCGCGTACTGTGGTCTACTTCCAGCTGCACACAGTAG